TTTTTTGGGTCCGCGTTCGGCCCGAACGGCCGAACGCATCCCCAAGGGGTCCCATACGTTCGGGCGTTCGGGTTCAGGCGTTCGGCCCGTCCCGAACGTCGGTTACCCTGTATATATATATATATCTATATATCGTCATCTATATATATACAGGTCCTTATGGTCCTGGCTCCATGTCCATTCTGGGGAGCGTCAGTCCGGTTCCTATTCCCCTGGCAAGTCAAAATTGAATGCATTATCATACACAATCACGCTTCCTTCCGTCTGGCCGAAGGAACCCTGACCAGCATTGATTACTCCAGCTTGGGAGGAGTGACTGTCAGCTTGCCCTACCCTAGTTTTCCTCTTAGAAACCCTGTTGGTTCTGTCGAATAGGCGTTGAAGCACAAGAAACTAGGAGAGATGTCTGTCCGTCTAAGACTAAAGCCTCAATTTATCTTTCTCGGGACTGCACTCCTTGTCTTCGTTAAAGAGGGCCCCCTCTTCCAATCTGAACCTTCGATTGTATCCTGCTTGTTACCCTGCGTGTTCTTGTGCTCGTTGTACTATTCCTCATCCGTAGATTATGTGGTGTTCCGTTGCTTTGCGGCTACGCCTGATGCCACTTTTTCCATATCAGCCTGTTGACCGCTATGGTGGCAATCTCGCCCTTTAACAACCAACTCCTCGGGAATGTTCATCTTTTGAATGCGTGCTTTTCTAGTCCTTGCATCTTGGATGAGGATACTTTCCGCCATCTGGCCCGAATTTCTGTCTCCACCATGCTTATCAGTAGAGTCCACATTTCCTCCCTTGACACCTCTGCTCCTTCAATTGTCCGTGTGCATCTGCATTTCCATATGACCCAAAGAGCCAGTTTTCTGAGTAGATTGAACCAGACTTCCTTGCTGCCTTTGAACTTCGTAGGAGTGTTAGAGAGGAGCAGGATAGTTAGAGGGGAAGTGTTTGGGGGTGGTGCTGAAAAGAGGATGGACCATAGTTGCCGAACTTCGTCCCAGATCCAGTTCGCTTCAGGACAGTAGAGGAGGCAGTGGGGGATATCTTCTGGTGTGTTGTTGTTCCACAAAACGCAGAGTTCTGAGCTGTCTGGGTCTAAGTGTTTCCTTCTTTTGTGAACCCAATGATTGACCGGCAGGGCTGTGTGTGTTAGGAGCCATTGCATGTTGCGGATTCTAACGGGCTTGATAAGAAGGTATTTGGTCCAGGGAATGGTGAATGGGATCGAGGGTACTAGGTTCAGGATGTTTTGCCATTTCTCTTTTAGCTCGGGGTTCGGGTCTATCATTTGCAACCCGAGGTCGTAGCCAAATTTCATGTTGTATTCGGAAATTGTTCTTGATCTCCTGTTGGAGCCTTGTTTCCACATCCATTCCTTAGGGCCGAATTCCAGGTCATCGATGCTAAGTTCTGGCTGGAATATGACCCATGGTCTGTTCTGGGTGACTCTAACCTTTCTGAGAAGGAAGGTTTCTAGCCGCTCTGTTTGGGGGATATCGTACCGGATTTCCAGTTCCTGAAGATTGTGTTTGGAGATGGGGTAAGATAAGAAGTTGGATTGGTAGCTGGAGGAATCTGATCTAGAAATGAAACGATAGGCCCTCATTAGCGGAGTCGAAGAGATTAGTTGGCCCCATTCACCTGGCTTCCACGTGAATCTTTCTCTTAGGAGAGCTATCCACTGAGTGGGGATGCTCTGATGTATCGCTGCTAGATTGGTTTCCAATGAGTGGCACCCCCTAAGGGAGGTTCGGAGCTCTTTGTCCGTCAGCCAGTCATCTTGATCTGTGGATCATAGATGTTTGATCTGCCACACTCCTCTCTCCAACCAGGTCATCCATCTGCGGTCTTTCACGCGGAGGGTCCAGGGATTACCTTCTGTGTCCGTTATCCATGGATTGCTGAAGAGAGGCTGTCTGAGGACTTCCTCTTTGTTGTTC